TACCTTTCCTTATTTCCAAACCTATTGCAATAATGGTGTGAGCATATCCACTTCAGTCCCTGGGTCCGTTGTCAGTGCTTCGGGGGGAAATTGCGTCTGGTCCTGATGCCTTCCCGGCTGGACTTCAGTAGCTTGATCGCATTTAGGATTTCTGCTTTCGTTGGAGGACAGGTGTCCATTGGCAGTTCCGTGCGTGGTGGTATTTATGGGCAAGTTGGAGGAGATATTATCATACTTAACTTTATTCACCAGACATTGATATTTCTTACTGGTTCACTGATACTGTAGTAACGAACACAGTTAAGTGCATCTAAACAAAAGTTAAACGATCGAATTTCCTTATCCCAGATAGATAAAAAACATGATGGTAGTATATGGTAGCTTCACAGAGTCAGTTGGTCGTTCTAATTTAAATGACAACTTATAGAAATATTCAAAGGCTGTTATAGGTGCGGAGATAAGGATATTATTATTTTTTAAACGTGACCTGGAATCAATACAACAGAAATCCGTAAATCCACGCAATGTTCTCACAAAACTTCCAACAATCACTGGAAGATGCTACGTAAGTAATTGCCAAAATTATTCCAAAGCTTAACCAAGCTAACAAGACCAATAAGAGAAAGACTATTCGTTTTTTTTGCGTTAAGATACACTATCCTCACTCAGTTACGCACCAGAAATAATCCAACCAAATGTTAAGACGAACTGTAAAAACTGCTTAATCAACTCACTGACGGTCAAAATAGTACCAGTTGACACCTGTGACTACAAATCTGCGTGTGCACGCCGATGTGAAAAAACCAGGAAGATAAAAGTGTCGTTATTCCCTCTACTGACTACGACGCAAAGGTATTGAGACCAACAGTTGTGACGTAGTATTGTAACAACAGAAGACAAGGGCCAGGCAACAGAACGTTTATTACGGAAAATCAACACATATTTATAGATTTTGATGTACATTATTGTAGGTTAATGTTAGTGGAAAATACAGTCTGTTGATTGGTAGTTTCTCACACAAAGTTAATCTTGCATCTCTTGTGGCTGTGTCAGTTCATCTATATGTTAACTGTATCCGCCTGTCCATCTTGACCTTGTTTTCACATGACTAACATTAACCTCAATTACTGTCAACCAATTTGGCTAGCAACCATCTCTCACCACAGTATGATCTGTGACCACCTGCTGGACACTAGATATGGTGGTTACATACAGCAGTCACAGAACCGAGAACAAAAAAAAATAGAATTAACTGTGACTGCTCTCATAAGTCTACTTTCTGAACTCAAGACGTATTTTACGTCTTATGCTTCGGTAAGGCATGGTCACAAGGGGAATCTGACTACATGCTGTTGTATTTTCTTGCCATTTACTGTCTCAATGATTCTTTTCATCTGAAAGGTGTTGCTTACCAGGTTACGGACTTCTTAGTACATTTACATATTTCGAGTGATCTAATTTAAACCACCGCGGTCGGTCGGTTTTCGACATAGAACTTTGCACATATATGCGGCAGTTCAAGTCGCCACACTCCATGTAGCACACAAAGCAAGAGAAGAAAGTAGGAGAAATGCATAGTATAGACAGTAAACAGAGGTGTGAGACAAAGGATTAGTAATAACGGAGAACAAAACAGTTTAATTGGAAATCATAAGTCACAAGGAGTGGATGCATCTTCGCCAGCCATTGAGAACGATTTTGAGCCATGTCACAAATTGTTTCCAACCATTGGTTTTTACCGTCCCGAGGACCCCAAAAAGGAAGTCTAAACCTTCCTGCGTGGCTTAGACTAACTGTTGTGGATTTCATTGACTGGTGCCATGTTTTCGTTTGACCGCCGCTAGCTCTTTTCCAACATGACCCTATGTCAGCTAACATTGCCCTTTGTCGAGGAAGGCGATGACTAGGCATACGTAGCACATGTCCTAACCATCTTCAGCCGATGTAATTCCACAGTTTCGTCGATTGGTTTCCCCGCCTTGCCTAGCACTCGACGCCTGACCTCAATATTGCTCACCTTATTATACCACTTCACGCGGGAGATAGAACGCAGACACCTATGATCGAACACAGATAATCTTTTCATGTTTTCTGCTCTCAATGGCCAGGTCTCACAGCCATAAAGGAGGACGGAGCGGACTGTTGAGCAGTACACACGCCCTTTGGTCGATAGTCAGATATCACGTCTACGCCAGAGACGGCGTAAACTGGCATATGCGAACCTAGCCCTTTGTATTCGTGCTGAGATTTCGTTGGAGATCAACCCGTTGGGGCTGATGGTACTTCCCAAGTAATTGAAGCGGTCAACGAGCTCTACCACTTCACTTCCTATTTCTAATCTAGGGGTCGGTGAAGTCCAATCCTGTAGCATCATCTTACATTTTAAAGGGGCGAATCGCATGCCAAACATACGAAGATTGTTGCTCAATGTGTTTAGTAGACTGCATTTTGTCAGCGTCCTCGCCTAGAAGGACTATATCGTCCGCATATTCTGAGTCGACGAGATTATTCCCTGGTAGCAAGTCAATCCCTGGCCAAACAAAAACATGGCATCAATCCATGAAATCCCTGACAGTTAAACTGAGTCAGGTAGGGAGATGCAGACTTCCGGGTTGGGGCCCGCCCTCGGGACTCTAAGAATCAATGGCTGGAGACAATAGGTGACATGGCTCAAAATCGTTGTCAATGGCGCAGATGTATTCAGTCTCTTTAGCCTTCATATTCCTTTCTACCATTACTCATTTTTTCACTCTTATACTTATCTAAATTCTATTGATTCTCTTCTCTCATTTTCCTGTCTACCTTTGTATGCTATTTGGAACGTGGCAACCGGAACTGCTGCACTTCGGTGCCAAGTTCTATGTTGAATCCAGCAGCAGCAGCAGCATACATTTTCGACCATTATATACACTACTCACAGGTCCCTAAAGTTTCTGGTTAGATGTAACCTTTCGGATTTATAGATACAGCTATCCATACTCACTGACCAATTAACTTATCATAGGTATATTGCAGTTTTGTTATCATCTATCACTTCTCTAAGCACCAGAATTTCAGAGAACCACTGCATTATCCCCTATAGCCAACAATCCCACTCCCATTTATTGTACACTCACATAAACTACAGTTGTTGTTACATTTACTACGTCAATTTTGAATAAACGCATCTGACGTATATTTCAGTCAAGGAGGAAGACAAATATCAGTTCATCCCTTTGAGGATAATAGTTTATACCATACATTCAATCGTTATGAATGAACATGAAAGCCTATTATCTCTTACACAAGTGGATAACATCTTCCGGCCAATGAAGGTCAACGAGAGTTTCGTTACAAAGATTTCGAAGCAGTATAGTTGAGGATATCTTCAGCCTGATTTCCCTACAAGCTAATATAAACAGTCTCCTTCGCAAGACAATTATTGGAGTATATAATAAATAGCTTTCCTATTCTTTCTTCATGAAAACTCGGGGTAATCACTTTTAACTAATCCTCTCATCACCATTACTGTGGAAGCTCACTATTTTCTTACCAGATATTATCTCCAGAAAAATACACAACCGTACAGCTAGGTGAGAAATATCTTATTGAGTTAATTTGGTGGTGACATGGTCTTCTGCAAACATATATTATGTTAGTCTACCCCACAAAACAATAAGTGGTAAGTTCACACGTAGACCTGAACAATAGCTCTATTGTCCATAAAAAGTCCAATATAAAATCTGCAACAATGTGACTAACATCCTGTGGAGGTAAATATGCCACCTTGTTCCCATCGTTTGTGGAGAAAACTGGAGTATTTCACACAATGCCAAAGTCTCTCTGGAGTTCTGCTAGTTTTCTAATACAATTATTTTACACTGACGTGGCTTAAATCTCACCTAGTTTGACCGAATTTCAGTCAGGCAATACTGTATGGACTGTCTTCTCATAACAATTTTACTCCAAAAACTTGACTGAGAGAGGTGTAACTACTGTTTGCATTACACATCAGTGACAAGACGCAAAACTTTTTTTCTATGGAGCAGATGTACTGACTTCACGTATTATCCAAAAACCTTAAAATCCTCCTTTTTACCACGTTACTCATCTTTTTTATGCTAATTTCTGCTCATTATAGTTCACTTGAATTTGTTTTTTTTCTTTTACTCTGAGCTGTATGGAGTGTGACACCTTGAACTGCTGCACATCTGTGTTGGAACTCACTCAGCATCACAACTTTGCTCGATTAACTTTCGAGCACCTCAAACTTTAGAATCGTATAATTAGCCCACAACGTGACACTGTGGTGACAGCTCCTAACTTCTTAACACTTTAGTAAAATATCGACTAAAAGAAGGCCCTTAGCTGCTCACTGGGCGTAAGGCTAGTAACAACACGATTGACATAACGAATATAAACCTGATCTCAACTAACCGAACAGGATAAGAGAACTGTGATTATAAGACTTAACAGCAGATCTGTAAGCTATATCAATTTGGGCATGTAATCTATTTTTCTCATTTACCAACCGGTTGACATTCATCACCCGTGGGGAGACACCATGGCCTCTGATAACATTTACTGCATTTTGACGGTGGACCCTAGTTTTAATAGATGGAAATGTTGAGTTGATCCATTGTAAATCTTCAGCAATACATATCTAAAGGGAATTTTCAATGGACATGGTGACTTATTAAGGCCTGAGGAAATCAGTCTAAGAGGTGACTGGGAAATAGTGTGGCTAATTCTATAAAGAAACATTTAGAAAATGTTAGGGAACACTAACATGAATCAAAAAAGTTCCCCCCTAGGATCATGAGTTCGCACCAAGATACTCAGTAGAGATATTTTACCTAAGTGCACCCTCACTGTTTATTGATACTGTCATCTCACAAGTGAAGTATCTTTTTAGAAAGCCTAGTGGTTACGGAAACTATTAAACTGTTAACCATGGGAAGAAATGGAATAGCTATGGCTGTTATCTGTATCAAAACACGTGCAACAAAAACTCATAAAAGGTGGTACATCAAATAATTATCAACCATACGTAAGTTCTGCAGCCTCATTATAAGTCTACCCTGTATTCTATAAGACTTGGTTTATAGATTAAGTCAGAATTGTATAAAAAAGTCAGTTGACACTTCACCAAAACCTAGGTGTAGATACCGGTTCCAGCTGTGGACAAGATGTCTGCATTTCTAACATTATCTAATAATGATGAAAAAAGCTTCAAACAGCATTAAATATCATGTATACAATGTACGTACTTCTTCCAGTCACTGATTTCTTCAGCCTAGTATATGGTCACACGCGTACTATCAACCCCACGTAAATCAATGAAAACCATGAATGTACCGTATATTTATAATCAAAGTGAAATAATTAGCGTTTTCTTCGCATTTCAACAGTATTGAGACGTTTCCAAGCTGCGCGTCTAGAACCACCAATTGTCTTATGGAATTTGTGTCCTTTGCCAAGTCCTCTGGATTTGTAGCCAGCTGAAGTGAGGCCACGCATCTCTCTGTGTTTCTGATGAGCTTTACATATCCATCGAATGCTTGGATCTCGTCTGATGGCTTTGTGAGCTGGATCTATGCAGATAACTTCGTAAAACTTAAATGTACTGTCCTCGCCAACCCAATAGGAATTAAGGACTCGAAGTGAACCACATTTACGACCAACACGTTCCTAAAAAACAATCTAAATTCATTCATTAATTTACCTCAGCAACTGCTTGGATTGAACGCTGATTCTTTAGTTGATTAACACCATGATTAGTTGGTTTACCGTAAGTTGCTCCCTTTGGAACCTGACGTTTCCTGCCACCTCGACGAATGCGGATACGATAAATAACGTATCCTTGTTTAGCTTTGTAGCCAACTCTTCTCGCCTTATCAGGACGCGATGGCCGTGTTACTCTGACGATAGCATGGGTTTGACGATATTCCCAACACCTCATGCGCTGAATGTAGCGCATAACATCGGACTGCTTACGTCGATACAGCTCTTGCATAAACTTATAAGCACCCATTGCTATTATTAAATTCACGCAACATTAGGGAAAACGACGAACTCACCTCGTCACGCCTGACTGGTATTCACTGACCGCCAACGTTGTGCCTCTACCAACTCGACAAGTAAAACAAAGCAAATGGTTTAAACCATTTATTACTAAGTTACCCCTGCAATTCTACTTTGCTCTTTGCGAAAAACTAAAGCCAGACGGTGAATTAAATAACACTTTCTTATTGAAAACTATGTTAGAATACCCTGACTGGAAACAGAAAGCTTGTCTCTAATGTCAAGCCCTACCTATCATGCACATATAATTGTTCACCCCAATATCTAATAAGTTCCATCAGTGTTTATACTTTGTTCTGACAACAGATCTCAGGAATCATCTACTATTTTTCGCAACTAAACTCCTTGAGCGCATAATGCTGTATGACCTTACACAGATGTATTGTACAAGATGTGTAGGCCTGATGAGATGAAAAAGGAAATAGATAAGGCACCTACACATTCCTCGAACCTCTCTGTGGTCTGATCAGCTCCGCTATTGTCTCATGGCATTATGTGTAGAACTGGTTTAGTCCGTTTTACTTGTCCCTCATTTGATGAGCCAGTTGTGCCAAGGAACATATTTTTTGCTGTCCATTGTATGCAGCACAGTGAACAGCAAAATAATGGAATTATTACTGTTGCTTGAAAAACACTGAAATTCACCACACTTCTTGATCTTTTGTTAACAAGGAATATTGTACAACTTTAATGACCGTATTCCAGTATCGCAGGCAACCTGACGCAGGACACTGAAACAAAATTAACGAAAATTACATCGGAATTACGTCAGAATTCAAGTGCGAGCACAAAACGTTATGATGCTTTGCTCCAAATAATGCGTGGTGAAAGTTCATGGGATATGGGGTCAAGGCGATTCGCAGTGGAAACAGTGTGTAACTTTTTCATGGGCTCGAGGAATATCAGCCATTTAGTTCAACATACTGAACATTCCACAAATTATAGGCATATTCTTCACTCGGGCATACCACACACAGGGTTAAGGACATGTTCTAGAAATTATATTGGGTGGTTCTCTTAATGCGCCTTACTGAAGCCTGTTCTTTGGAGGATTCAAGAGCTCCTTGGCCAACTGTACTATCCGATTATTCTGTAGCAGTGCGTAATTCCCCCAGAATTATTAGCCACAGCTTTCGTCACTAAACACTGGATTCTGACTCCCTCTGTTTAAGTCGATTTGTTTAGCTGGAGGCTTGTGATCAAGCTTCCACGCCATTCGGCACGCTATTATGTTACGTTCGTCTATTCGTACACGATCCCTAGCTAGCTGAGCAGTCACCTCTCACTCCGATTCGGTCCTGAAGTATACGTCGTAATTTGGACTATAGATTCTGGTGTTTTGCTTTGCGTTTTGTCTATGCGGAACGAGTACTATAGAAGTTGTGGGTATTAGATAGTACTGTCCTTGAATGTCACCATCTTCAGTCTCTAAAATTTCTTAAATTAATTTTTACGGTAAAATCACCTATCAGTGAGGCCACTAATTAATGGCACCTATATTTACACGTGCAAACACCTCAGAAATAAAATCTTTAATCGAAACGATGAGTGCTGGCATAAATTTCATAGCATCTTAGGAGACACGACTAAATCTGCTGCAATCGACACCATATTTAACACAGTATTTCGCTTCAGCAATTAAACATCTAACCTACAGTTTCATTAGAAATTACAATCACAGTGCAGGCTGCTTCGTGTTTGCATGTCAGAGGTATAATGAAAGAAGCACTTCCCAAACTGCTCCCCGAGTCTTTAGGGAAACAGGCTAGTTTATCGCGTTTTAAAGCGTAGTGTAGATTAAAAACTCAAAACTAATAACTGGAAATATTTTACTAGAACTAAACATGCCTAGAAACCAACCCTGCAAGTGAAGATTGCAAAAGAAGGGATGAAACTGGCATAAAGAGAAACAATGGTGAATAATGAGAAGATAATCGTCAGCAAAGCTGCGATAGGAGCGTGTTTGTACAACAGTTTTTGAGTGCACATTTACAGCGAAACATTTATCGCCCTCCTCAGCTAGTCTTACGTTTAAGGGAATTTTATGAGATGTAACAGCAAAAATATATTACGTCCTCAACCTGCAAAACTATACTTGTGAAGAAGCAGTTGTTTGGCACAGCAATGGAGGTATAAGGATGTACTAGGAGGGCAGCATATTCTGTGAAGGCATTAAAATCGTGGTTAAATGGTAAAAAAGGGTCATATTTTAGTGGTGAAATCTGCCCCTGTTTTACTGCATTAGGTAGGCTGCAGAACCCTACAGTTCACCATGGACGGCACTTATAGCTCTGTTGTGATCTGTGCGTGAGCTGACGATTTCGTGTGGCTGAAAGCTGAGAAGACGCTGGATATCCAATTCTATTTCCTTTGCAGGTCACTGATTTGTAAGTCGCCAGTCAAAGTTCCAAATCGGTAGACTGCAAGTCGCTGAGGAAGTTGAGAGATTTAGAACCAGTGGTGTGAAGAATTATGCGAGATATTAATTGTAGATGCTTGGTAAATGCTTGATACAGAAGTCTGTAAACTGAGTATATAACCATTTAGCTATTTGAAAGGGGTATTCTGTTCTGAATTTTGTTATATATTTTCTTTTGGAGAGCCCCTATCAAGGAAATTCGATCTGCCAGACAATCAGAAATACATTCTGTCACTATTTACTTTCTTCTCCATGTTCAATTTTATAGTGTATGACGCCATATGATCTACCTAATTTGGCATCTGGTTGCAAATGTCCAAGTTTTTCAACTGGTGGATGACAAGTTTCCCACATTTTCAAACTATTGCATGTGTTCTTTGTTTGGAGAAGTCCCGCACAAATGTTGTTTTGAGTGACTTTAGATGTTAGTCATGTCTGTATTGCAACGATGACTAATGTTTCCGAGATCACAAGAGTTGTTCATATTAATAGTTCGTATACTAGCATATAGACATTAGTGTTGCGCACTGCTGGAAATTTTTGGTGCTTCTTGTCAAGGAAGAGTTTTGGATCACGACTCCAGAATCTTCAATAACAAGAAAAGTAGATCAATATTTGGGTACACTGTCGTTGTGACAAAGGGGTGCCGAAGTCATACTATGAGTTTATACGAAATAACCCATGCCCATGGTTCTGGTATATCTGCGCACTTTGTCGCCCTGGCACAGTGCCACACAAAGTGTCTGCGGATAGCAGAAACAGCACACCACTCTTGTGTCTCAACACAGTCTCATGCAGCTCCCTACCTGTTAACACCATACTGACAAAACTTGGTGCACACAGCAAGAAAGACACTCCGATCCAACTGACTGGAAATGCCAATCTTCACAAAGTGAAGAGTCCGAAGGTTGCGGCCACAACACCAGGGAAAGATAGAATTGCCAAAGCACCACTTGCATCCATTAGCAAGCTCGGCAACACAGCAAAGGCTGGTCAAAACCTGATGAAGCCTAAAGTTACTGACCATGCAAAGGGATACAATAAGCCAAAGTCCAAACCTAAATCTGAGGTCAGTCAGCCTAATTCTCTAATCAATTTTAATTTACCTGTGGGCAAGGATAGTTTCCTTGAACAATGGGTCCTGTTTGATCGGGAACAGTGGTCCAACTTGCGCAATAAATTAGGTCTGAACATTAGTTCAGTGAAATTGTGCAGGCTGTACAGGGGTGTCCACACGCCTCAGGGTAAGCCACCCCCATTAAGGGTTACACTGGACTCTGCCGAAGAGGCCGAAAGAATACTATTAATGGCTCAGGTACTAGCCATCGACAGAAGTTCGAGCATAAGGGTGAGACATGATAGACCATGGGCTAACAGACAAATGGCGAGGGAGTCCCCGGAACTGATGCCTTCTACCTCTATGGACGTACACGGTGTTCCGGAGCTGGAAATGGGCACTGCTTGTGAAAAACACATGTATGACGTACAGCAATGGAGATGGCTGTCATCTCAGATGGCCCTTGGCGCTTCCGGGGCCATCTTCATTTCCCGGCTACCTCGCCCCGCTCATCTCACACTGATTAGCTCTCCAAGGTTGCTAAGTGTCACATTCGGGCGTTGATAAGGCATATCCCCTGTTTGAAGTGGCGCCTCCAGCTTTACCTTGAGGACATTTGCGCGGTCTAGTTGATTTCAGTTTGGCTGGTTTGTTCCGTTAGATCCAGGTAGCTGCATTTGACGTGATTCTGGTTTCTGTTTGGCTTGAACTGCATTGATTTTGTTAAGAATAGTCGCCAAAAGCTGCCTCTAGGCCTGAAGGTAGTTATGGTGCAGGAGGATGTTTGAGAATGTGTTTCATGTGAAAATTATGGGGTGCACCTAGAATCCTCCTGTTTGTGGCGTCTCAATGATTTCTGCAGACCTTCGTTTTATCACTTGTGTCCATATTTGTCGTTCATGAGAGTTTCAGTAAGTGTTTGTGGCTATAACCAGGAAATTTCCAAAACGGTAATTGTGGTAAGGAATTTATATTTTCTTCCGCTATAGTTTCCAAGTCAATGTCTCTTTTAAGTTGCTTACTGTACTCTGTTGGCTATTCATGAATTTTTTATTGACAAGCTTCTGTTTTCATTTACAGTGGTACCGAATGGACGCATTGGCACTTGGAGACAATGGCGACCAACCTGCCCTTCTTATATCAGTGGATATCAAAAACCTTTTTGACGGAGTTATGTCTAGTCACCGGTATACCAGTTGGGTTCAAGTAGAAGATGCTCTAAGTCAGCTGGAATCAGTAATATATGTATATATGTATGACAGAGTATTCCTAGGCAACTCATACACATTATGTAATCAAAAGGTGCATACGGGACCATGAATCTGAGGATTTGAAGCACAAATTAGTAGTCTTTCGTCGTACATATGGCATGAAGCGAGAAACTAGAGGTTCAGGTTTACGCGTCAAATCGTAAGCCAATCTGGCTTTCGTATACGCTACAAGGAGGACGAGTTTATCATTTCTTCCGCGAAAACAGTTCACAATCACAGATGTGAAAAAAGTCTTATGATAGGTGATCCATATTTTAGACGCCTGTCCGGGGATGAAAAGGAGAATATTGCACCAGTTGTGAAGACTACA